TTGGTGACTATTTTGAATATATGCTTTTCTGTCATTGTAGAGTGAGTAACTTTCCTTTTCTTTTTATGTTAAGAGATGTGGTTTTGTCTCAGAAAAAGTCAGTCATGTGTTTTAAAACAAGTAACACAGTGGTGCCTTATTAAAACTACATTTTTTTAAAGTTGAGTGAATTGAATTTGATTTAAGGTAGCTCTTTTGGGTGACTTTTCTTTTTCAATTACCTAATGCAGTGGCAGAGGGTGAATAGAATATTTTAAGTGCACCTGCCCTGTAGCAAAAACCTCTCCAAAATAAAAATGTCATTTATCAGAAAATAAAAAGATGCTTAAACAGTAAACAATCACAACCTAAAAGAAAGCAAGAAAGGAATATCAATATCATAAAAGCACAATTTGGCTATAATGTATCTAATAGGCTAGTCAATTCATGATAATAGCCATAATTTATGTTAGCCATAAATCGTGCACACGAAACAAAACAGAAGCTAAGCATTTAAAACAAAGTAATCCTAGATATAAAAGAAGAATTTGATTATATATATATATTTCTGTAAAATTGATTAAATATCGGTAGCAAAATTGGTAATTATTGCAAATATTTTAATATAATTCTTTTTTTTTTTTTTTTGGAGAGGTTTTTGCAATAAGGCGCGTGTGCTTGCCAAAAGACAGAGAGAGACAGAGAGACAGAAAGTGAGAAATCACCCCTCAGGTGGGATGGCCATGCTGCAATCCCTTCTCCTCCATTCTCCTCTCGGGATCATGGACACGCGCACACACACACCCAGCACGAGTTTAAGCCACCACGTCCAGGACTCAACCACGCTTGCTACATGGGAGTCCAGCAACATAGTCATTACACCAACTGCTGGTCCTTAATTCTTATTAAATAATGATGATATGTATACATGTATATGTGTTTCATATATATATATATAGGTAAAACTATACATTTCTCTCAAAGAGAAAGCACATATTTTTGGTTAATATTCACAATATATACGTGTAACTCACTGTCCAAAAGTCCATAACTACAGAATTATAGGTCATGTTCCTGAAAGCAAAATTGGAAACAAATAATAAAAATGAAGCAAAAATACCTAATCACTAGATAGAAAGAAACACAACTAGGTAACTCTTGGGTGAAAAGAGAAATTAAAAAAAATATTGAAAACAGAAAAAGGAATATTTCACATGAAGAATTTGTCTATAATAAAGCAAAAAAGTGCTTTAAATGCCTTTGTTAGAGATATAAAGAAAGATGAATTTTAAAAAATAAATCTAAATAAGCTTAAAAAACTTACAAAGATAAAAAATTAAGTTAATAAAAAAAAAAGTGGAGAAGATAAAGCTGTCCTAAAGCACTTTTTTTGTTTTATTTTACTTAGAAGACTTACAGGAAACCCTTTATGAAACGAACAAACAAACAAATATCAGACAGAAATAATAATGCAAATGAGATAAAACTTCTCATGTTAGGGTGGCTACAATAGTTAAAGAGATTAAATGTAACTCTTAAGATTTTTAAAAATTAATTTATTTATTTACAGTCATTCACTGTACATCAATAAAATATGCAAAATGAGATTTTCCATCCAGTATGCATTATGTATTGGCTCAATCAAGGATATTACCGTACATGTTATCATCAACGAATAATTTTCTATTTCTTGTTTCTTATATATTTTACTCTTTTTACCCTTCTTGATTCCCTACCTCTCACCCTCGGTCAACTCCTCCCCTTCTCCCACACTGTCTCTGGTATGTACAGTTGTTTCCCATGCCCTATTTTTTTTTTTCACAATTTATTGATTCACGAAAGATGTTAATTAACTTAAAGACTTTCAATAGCAAGCACAGCTGATATATACATATTTATGAACACATATCTGACTTTAGATGTAAACCTCAGTGAGTAAAGTGAACATACTATAAATAGCACCTCGCTGTGGCTATATAACTTACTGCAATCATTAAATAGGTATTAATAGGTATTTTTTAATTTCAAAAAGAGTTTTAGTATTAATAGATCAAAATAAAAAAAAGTTAAGAGAAATTTGCTTAAAACTTGAAGCCAGAAAAAATTTAGGATTCAGTTCAAATAGTAGGTAGATGAACTTACCAACCATTCAAGAGGAAAATAAAAATCCTTAAATATGGAAATAAAAGCATCTAAGAAAATCAGTAACATTTTAATTTAAAGTAAAAAAAATTCTATTTCACTAGTTCAGACTCACATAATTAATCTCTCATATTGAATATGCAGTGTTACTGTAGTCTGATCTTCCCATTTAAACTCTGGAAGTTAACATTCAACTCAGGACTTCTTTCTACCATGAGGCTGGCCATTCTCTTGGTTGTTTCTTGTACTCTTATTTCTATATGTCTGACTTTAGTTTTCCTGGTAGAGCACTCCATTCAGCACTTCTTAGTAAGCTGGTCTTATGTTGGTAAATTCTTTCAAGTTTTGTTTTTTTCTGAGAATGTTTTTGTCTTTTTTCCCCAGTGAAGATAATCTTGCTGGGTATAGTATTCTTGGTTGAAATTGTTTTTCACTTAACACTTTGAATATATTTTCTCTCTTTCCTTGCTTGAATTGTTTCTGATGAGAGGTCCAACGTTAGCCTTGTGGTATATCCTTTGAAAATAACTTAATGTTTTTCTCTTGCCAATTTTAGTATCTTGTCTCTGTCCATGGTTTTGGTCAATCTAGCTATGATGTGTCTTGGGGAAGATCTTCTTTGGGCCAATTCTATGTGGGGTCCTTTGTATTTCTTGGGTCTAGATATTTGAGTACCTCCTTAGGTTTGGAAAGTTTTCATCCAGGATTTCATGGAATAGTTTATCAATTCCCTGATTAGTTTCTTCACCTTCTGGGATACCAATGATCTGGATGTTTGGGGGTTTAATGGTATCTAGTATTACTTGTACGTAATTCCTATTTTGAGGGGTTATTTTTTCAGTCTTTTTGGTGAATTTTTCTAGGTCAGAGATTCTATCTTCTACATATGAGATTCGATCTCTGCATGGTCTAATCTGCTTTTGACATTTTCAACAGAAGCTTTGATTTCCTGTAATACAACCTTCATCTCTAACAATTCCATTTGATTCTTTTTTTATGATGTATATCTCCTCTTTCAGATTGTGCAAGAACTTCCTCACCTCCTGGAACTCAGTGTCTCTTTACTCCTGCATCTTCTGACCTTTGTTGTCTTTATTCTCTTGCATCTCTTTAGCTTTGTCACTATGAATATTTTAAATTCTTTATCTGACCTTTTTATAAGTTACTTTGTATTCTTTGTGGAGTAAGAGGAGTTATTTATTTATTTTTCCATTAGAAGAGAGTTATTTTCTTCATTTCTCATATTTCTTGTGCCTCTGCAGTGATTCCTGGTCACCTGATGGATTATATGTTTTGTACTATGTTTTGGAGTTAAATCTGAGCAATCAGAGGATTGCAGAAGGAGGTGACTTGTAGTCTGACTCCTGGCTAGACTGGGGATCAGGAGGGTGAAGTCTGGGCTCAGGATCTTCAGTGATCGAAATCCCTGAATGGGGCCATTGAGAACTCAAATATAGATGGCTCCTGATAGGCTTATCCTGACTGCAGGCTAGACTGGAGAGCAGGAGGGTAAAGTCTGGGCAGAGGGCCTTCAGTAGTCGAAATCCCTTAACTCTTAAGATTAAGGTAGCTCTTTTGGGTGATTTTTCTTTTCTAGCACCTAATTCTATGACAAAACATCTGCCTTCATAGAAAGGAATGATTTTCTGTCAAAATATAAAATATCATATTCAGCTGCTGATTTGAAGGAATCAGCATTTGAAATCTTGCTTCTTTCTGGGCTATCATGTTTTAGTCTAAGATTTTCTTTGATGTATTAGTACTTTCATCAGATTGCAAGATATTCTAGACTATGAGTCAAAATTACTTTGAAAAATGAATGTTAAGAGCTTGAATTCTGCAGACATACTGCTTTGGTGTAAGCCTGGGTTCTACCATTTTTTTTATCTATTGGAGCTTGACCTTAAGCAAATTGATTTTCTTTCCTATGCCTTATTTTATCCTTTGATACATAGGGTTGTTAATGCTTATAACAACAGTAATAACCACAAAGGATCTATTTAGACTATTAAATTAAGTAATACACAAAGAAAATGATTAGTAGAAGATTGGCAGAATAAGAAACACTAATCATTATTTTGTCTTTGATTTTATTAATTTATCCAACAATTGCTTTTTAACATCTGTCTTTGTGTGTAGTCTATTCTAGCTACTGTGACTGTGTCAGTAAATAAGAAAAAGTACTTACCTTTACAAAGTTTACATTCTACTGAGAAAGACAGACAATAAACATAACAGTATAATTTTGAGGAGTGACAAGAACATTGATGAGTTGCATATTGATTTATAGCCAATAAAATTAGTTTATTGTTCAGTTACACATGATGCTTGCTCGTTTTTATTATAACTTAGGGTTACATATGTAATGACTAATAGAACAAAAAAAAAGCTTAGGCTTCTGCAAGGAAGATGTAGATTTGAATTATAGCTCTGCTATAGGTTGTCAGGAAAGTCATGGCGTATTTTTTATATTTTTCTATGTAAAAATTATGCTTCATGACTTTCCCGGCAACCCATTATTTATTATTTATATTTGGTCAAGTTTATTTAACCTCTCTGCACTGATTTATGTCTATCTATGAAATGTGATAATAACAGCTGTCTCCCAGTACTGTGGTTAGATTACATGAATCTGATGCATACGTATACTGGGTGTACCAAGAAATATTACTTTCATCTTTCCTTCCCTCTCTCTCTCCACACTGTCTCTCTCTTTTGTTAATTTTTCTGTACTACCTTCTTCCTTTCCTTTGTTGGTCTTTTCCTTTACTATTTTCTCTTCTCCCTTTCTGGCACTTGTGCATTGATATATGTAATTATGGTAAAATACATATATTTCTTAAAATGCTGTTTTACAGGTTATAAAGGGAGACTATAAAATGGAATGGCACAATCAAACCGTTTTGGTGGAATTTTTTCTGAAGGGACTTTCCGGTTACCCAAGGCTTGAGCTCCTCTTTTTTGTGCTAATCTTAATAATGTATGTGGTCATCCTTCTGGGCAATGGCACCCTCATTTTAATCAGCATCTTGGACTCTCACCTTCACACTCCTATGTACTTCTTCCTGGGGAACCTCTCGTTCTTGGACATCTGCTATACCACTACCTCCATTCCCTCCACTCTGGTGAGCTTCCTGTCAGAAAGAAAGACAATTTCCTTCTCTGGCTGTGCAGTGCAGATGTTCCTAGGCTTGGCCATGGGGACAACTGAGTGTGTGCTCCTGGGCATGATGGCATTTGATCGCTACGTGGCTATCTGCAACCCACTGAGATATCCCATCATCATGAGCAAGGATTCCTATGTGCCCATGGCAGCTGGATCCTGGATCATAGGAGCTGCCAACTCTGCAGTACAAACTGCATTTGCAGTAAAATTGCCTTTCTGCAGGAATAACGTTATCAATCATTTCTCCTGTGAAATTCTGGCTGTCATGAAATTGGCCTGTGTTGATATCTCAAACAATGAGTTCATCATGCTAGTGGCCACGACATTGTTTATATTGACACCACTGATACTAATCATTGTCTCTTATACATTAATTATTGTCAGCATTCTGAAGATTCGCTCCTCTGAGGGAAGAAGCAAAGTCTTCTCTACCTGCTCAGCCCACCTGACTGTGGTTATTATATTCTATGGGACCATCCTCTTCATGTACATGAAGCCTAAATCTAAAGAGACACTTAAGTCAGATGACTTGGATGCTACTGACAAACTTATATCCATGTTCTATGGGGTGATGACTCCCATGATGAATCCTTTAATTTACAGCCTCAGAAACAAGGATGTGAAGGAGGCAGTAAAACACCTACTTAGAAGAATACTTTTAAAGAAGTAAATGGAAAGAGACTGAGCAGGTACTGTTATAATCAGTGTGGAAATCAAGTAGGGATACCAAAGAGTCAGACAGATAGGTTGTTGGTGCTATTACAAATTTGCCTCTCAAAACTTCAGGGCTCTGAAATAGTCTTTAATGCTATACATGAAGAAAATAAGTAAATAAATAAATTACAGTGTTTTAGCAGTGAATGGTGATACCTTTTGTTGTTGTTTTCTTTTGTTGTTTTTATTGGTAAAGAGCTTGATTATAAGGAGAAATACAGAGATGGTTTAATTTGGAGAGAAATTTCCAGAGAAGAAAACATCCTTCTTTTCCTCTTTGACTTTTGGTAAAATTATTTCTAAAGCCAATTTCACACTTCATTACTTTTCTTACAAGACAGAAATAACTTGGTTTTTGATTATTTAATAACTTTTCTTTTTTCTTTTTTTTGAGAGATTTTCGCTATAGGGCACGTGCACTCGCCAGACAGAGAGAGAGAGAGAGACATAGAGACAGAAAGCAAGAAATCACCCCGAGGGAGGATGGTCACGCCGCAATCCCTTCTCCTCCTTTCTCCTCTCGGGATCTTGGGCACGCACGTACACACGCCTAGCGTGAGTTTTAAGCCACCGGGTCTGGGACATAAACTGCGATAGACTACATGGGAGTCCAGCGACATAGCCATTACACTAACTGCTGGTTCCCTTTAATAACTTTTAAAATGATGAATTTCCAAAGCTAACATAATTTATTTGGAGTCTATTAAAATACATAATGCTAATTGTCCTCTGTATACTAGCTGTGTATCCTAAACATTTTGGTTTTATAACAGTGTTATTTTTATAAATTTTATTTATCTCTAACCATGAAGCTTTATATTATTATGACTTTGGTAGTCTTCTTTCCAATGACCTTATTATATGTAGAATTTAACTGCTTTGGACTTGGAACTAAAATAAGTAATTTTTAATCCTGTTTGAAAATTCAGTATAAATGACTTCTGAGTCAAGCCTCTACTGGTGGAAGAAAAGAAAGCTGTATCATTTCCTCGGCTCCATTGACTCTCCATCCATGAAGTACATTGCTGATCCATGAAAAGGTTGCTATTGGAAATGCTGGGGTCATGGTGCAGTAGATGGCATGGTGGTTAAGGTGCTGGACTCTCACATGGCTGACAGCAGTCTGAGTCCCAGTTCTGGTGACTTGCTTTCTCACTTTCTCCTCTCTCTCTCTCTGGTCAAAATTAAAAAAATAATAATAATAAATAAAATGGAATAAACAATCCTTTAAAAAAATTACGGTTTAAGGGACCAGCAGGTGGCATGCTGGTTAAGATGCTAGATGCTTCCACATGGCCAACCATGGTTTAAGTCCTGGACCTGGTGGCTTGATTTCTCACTTTCTCTCTCTCTCTCTATGTCTTCCTATCATGCTCTTTCTGGTCAAATTAAACAAAAAAATGAATGAATAAATAAAATTCAATAAGTAATTATTTTAAAAATATATTTTAAAAAAAGAAAATGCTTTGTCTATGTTTTACTTAGTTTTAACATTTTATTTTTATCTAGGATTTATGTTTCTTTTCTCTGCTATGGTAACCTCTGTTTTTAAAAATATCATTTTACCTTTCTAAATTTATTTCTTCTTTATTTGACTGTCATGATTTTTTTTCATCTATTAGTTCTTATTGTCTTCCCCCCCCCTTTCTTTTTGAGGGATTTTTTTTGCTATAGGGTACATGTGCTCACAGGAGAGACAGAGAGATAGAAAGTGAGAAATTAGCCCTCATGGGGGATGGCCAGGCCACAATCCCTTCTCCTCCATTCTCTTGTCAGGACTTTGGGCACACACACACACATATGCCTGGTGTGTTTGAAGCTGCCAGGTCTGGCACTTGAACTGTGGTCATCCATGTAGGAGTCTAGCTCCTTAACTACTTTGCCACTTGCTGGTTGGTCTCTTAATGTTTGTTTTAATGTTTCCCTCTTCCTCTGGGGTTTGTTAAGTGAATTACCTTATATCATATTAGCTTTGTAATATTTATGAAAGTTTTATGTTGTATTTCTTTTTGAATTTAAATTTTTTTAATTTTTGATTTGACCAGAGACAGACAGTATATGTGTGTGTGTGTGTGTGTGTGAGAGAGAGAGAGAGAGAGACAGAGAGAGAGAGAGAGAGAGAGAGAGAGCGAGAGAGAGAGAGAGAGAGAGAGAGCGAGAGAGAGAGAGAGAGAGAGAGAGCGAGAGAGAGAGAGAAAGTAAAAGTGAGGAAGCAAGCCGCCAGGTCCAGGACTTGAACCTTAATTTGCCTTGTCAGAGTACAACGCCTTTAACCACTGTGCCACCTACTGGTCTCAAATTTAAATTTTGGGGCTTTGTCACACTGAAATCCCTTTTTCCTTCACAGCCCTGCCTTTTATACCAAGTAACATGTCACATATTTATTTCCAAAATGGATTCTTGGAACTTTCTTTCTGGAAGGGACATATATGTCACTTTGCTGTGTGGTTCCTTTTCACTGCTTTGTTTCATCATGATGACTGAAGAGAAACTGACTGGAATCCAAGTTTTCCAAAATAAGATTTTAAAAAGCATTTTTTACATTGTTTCACTGATTCATGGTGTTCTGATCATGTTGAATTCAGTACTGGTTAGTCTACTTTTGCCCACGAAATGGATTCAGCAAATTGCAGATTGGTCCTTGCTTGGAAAATATATAGGGAATAGAGAGACTAATAGCTTCTGAACTTTAGCTAATCTTTTTAGGAGAGACCAGTATGTCTCTGCCATGAGGGCATGGAATATCCAAACAGGCAGAGAGTATAGAACAGTGACTAAAGAGGTGCCAATAAAGGCTCGTAATTGTGACTGGTTTATTGGTTCTGGACCACTGTTTAGGCTCTTCTTCATTTCTGCCTGCTCATCAGCATCTTCAATGTTGATGCTGTTCTTTATTCAGTTTGTTCTCTCCCATGCACGAATTTATCCACATTTCATGCCTGCAAATATAGCTAGCTTTGGAATTGTACTTACTAACTGAAGTTTAAAGACAGTATGGAGATCCAGAAAAGGGAAAAACAAAAACAAGATATGTTTTAGACTTAAGACTTCATTGTTCCAAAAGTCTACCATAATCTCTCATGAAGATTCTTTATTATCCAATTCCTCCTTAGCCACAGTGTCTTGTTATATTAATAGGGTTCATTGTGCCTCAGATTAGAATTGCATTTTAAATACGCTATCACCCTGAGTCCCAGGGCAGTGCAATATCTGTCCCATGGAATGTTCTTTAGCCTGGCTCCATGAATATAGATCTTTGGAAGTGATCAGGCAAAGGGCAAAGTTTAAGCTGTTGTTGTGAGCCAGGGCCCAAATAGTGCTATTATATTTTGAGGTGTGTGATGCCCATTTCTTTTATAAAATACCTTGTAGTTTTGAAATATGAGCAAGTAATTTTAATAAAATATTAAACTTTGACAAGATCATCTTTCTAAAAAATAAAGGGTTCAAGATCATTTCTGTATACAAAAGTGCCTTATTAAGGACAGAAGCCTGCTGGTAAATGGGCTCTTGATGGGCACTCACTTGTCTTCCTAGCCTTATCTCGTACTATCCCTTAGTGTGCAGATATTTAGCCTATTGATACGAAATAATTTGCAACAAGTTAAAGCAAATTACTCCTCACTGCAACGTTTATAAAACAAATATATAAACCAAATAAAGAAACCTAGGTCTATGACTGGCTAACCCGTCTTGGTCCTTACCTTGATTATATCCAGTGCATCTTTGAAATAAGCTAAGACTCACAGGTCTCACTGAGCAGCTGTCCCCAAAGTGTTCTGAGATACCTTGATATTTGAAAGAATTATTTATTAAAACGCTTTTCAGGTTCATCTCCTAAGATCTACTTTTTAACTTCCCAAACCCTGTAGTTAACAATTCTGCATGTATTAGCCTTAGTCCTTTAGAAACAGGTGAAGCATCAGGGAGGTTTTTGGATCCTTGCCCGAAACCTTTCCATATCGGTCAGTTTTACCGAGAACTGAGTTTTACCGTTGGGTCACCTTGTGACCTTGGAAGAAATGATCCCTTAAAGACAATAAACCTGATGGGTTCTTTTCCCAAAACAGTGAAGTTGGGTGAAACCATTTTATTACTTCTTGCATTAATGTTAAGGAACTGGAATTTATGTATTTAACTACAAAATAGTGGCATTTTAACACTTTTTTGTAGTTAAATACATAAATTCCAGTTCCTTAACATTAATGCAAGAAGTAATAAAATGGTTTCACCCAACTTCACTGTTTTGGGAAAAGAACCCATCAGGTTTATTGTCTTTAAGGGATCATTTCTTCCAAGGTCACAAGGTGACCCAACGGTAAAACTCAGTTCTCGGTAAAACTGACCGATATGGAAAGGTTTC